TTTTACTCCGACGAAGGACTAGCGTCCGAAACGTCAGTAAGTTTTTTCATCTTTTCACAGACTTTTAATCTGAGGGTCAGGGGTTCGAGCCCCTGGACTGTTAGGTTGATTTCTAAAGTAATATTACACTTTTGATCTGAGGGCGAAGGACTCGAGTCTCTTATTAGGCGATTTAATGTGTTACTTTAGTGATATATATTTTCCTCTAAATTTATTTATTTCTTGACGTATTTGATATTAGCATATACCAACTTGTGTACTTCCTACTTCCTATGAACGCGCGCGCTCATTGGTTAATTGGAGGTGAAGATTGTACGATATTCACCTCTGAATCTCGGAATATTGAGTCGGCAACAAATTGGCATCTGCCGGCAGTCGTTTTGCTACAACTTCCGATGAGGAAATTGAAAAAATGAAAGTAAATGTCATTCCTATCAATACTAAAAAGGCAACGAAGTATGGCCTAAACGTTTTGTTAAAGACTCGCGTCTAGGTAAATATTCCCCGATATTCACTTCGCCTTCGGCGAATAAATGTTAATTATAATTTTTTAGTAAAAATACTCAGGTGGTCATTGAAAAACTCGCTGATTGGTCGAGGAACTTACACTATCACACGATAATCACCTCAACGATAATCCAAAATGGAGGCCAGCCGCTTTGTTGCTGTTACCGAGAAAAAAAGGTGTTTTATCTCTTTTTCTTTTTTTTTTGAAAGAATAAACCGTGTATTTATACTAAAGCAATTATTTGCCTCAGCCTCAGTGAATATTGAAAAATATTTATCTCGCCGCTCGAAGACTCGCGTCTCGGTAAATATTCCCCGATATACACTTCGCCTTCACTTCTTCCATTTGCATGAAATAATCACACCACTCTTAAAGGATTGCAAAAAAATAATTAAACTATCTTTACTTTTCGCTGTATTACTAATATCACATTCAATACATTTTTGAAAATACTTTTTATCCCTTATTAGATACTTCGATTTCAAAATACGAAACATTACTTAAAAGTTTGTTTGCCATCCAGCAAGCCTTCCGCAAGGGACCTTTGGCTGAATTGATTCGTTATCAATGTCATATATCAGCACGTGACTATTCTTGCAAATGCCCTATTCTAGTCATGAAATCCGATGAACAGAAAACTACGCTTTCACTTACTTTTTTATTTCTATTTTTATTTTTTTAAATTTTTTTAAGTTTCCGTTTTGATATATTCATAATAATCATATTCATAAACATCATATTCATTATTTCTCAGCCTCAAGGACCCTTCTTCCCGCACAATGCAAAGTTATTGACAGGTCTTAGAAATTTAAAAAAAAATCAATCTTTATTCAAATCAACCATGTCTTTTATAGATTATTAGTAATAAATATATGTACGACAATGAATAGACCTTTTCAGCTTTGTTTTCAATTCACCCATTTCTTGTCACATGACATTCACTTGAGAATTTGTTATTTTAAGGTGGTGTTACACGGAGCAACTTGCAACACAGATTTTTCGTGCAACGCTATTGCGCCATTTTTGTGTCGATTTTTTTCGACATGTTACACGGGAACAACTTTTCGCGCAACATTTACTTTAGTATTCAGTCCACGCGCTGCCAACTCACTCACGGCTATCTTTTTTCTTCTTTTCTTGCTTTTATCATTTTTTATCAACTACAAAAGTTTTATCTTGTTTGTTTCAGTAGGTTTAGTCAATTGTTGCACTATTGCTGTACTCTTTAAACTAACTTCTCCTACAGTCGGCGCCATTTTGTTGCGCGTCAAATCGGCGATGGACATGTTACGCACATCGATTTGCTGAATCGTCATCTTGTGTTGCAAGTTTTTGAAGCCAGATCAAAAACTTACAATGTGTTGCAGAGGGAAAAATTGCGCGAAAAATCGTCCTCTGCGCTATGTTACACGACAACGATTTTTCTTGCAACGGTGTTGCGCAAGTTGGTCCGTGTAACACCACCTTATGACAAACATGTTGAAATATTTACACACGAAAGAATCAACTCCCAAGAGTAGCAACGAAGCTAAATAGGTCTATGATGTTTTCTGGTATAATAAGTTCCACTTTGGGGTTGACAAACTGCGTCGTTGACATATTGTCATGCCAATTCAGACCACGTATTCAGTAATTTCCTTAATATTTAGATCCTTTGTCTATAGTTTATCAATATCCAGCATCCATATCCAGTTTTCTTTTCATGCACAACCATTAAAGGCAAAACAATTACATCATATGCAATATAATATATATAATAATAATAATATATGGTCTGAAATTGGTTAACATTACGCTCTTGAATCTGCAAAAACTACCTTTTATGTTCTATCAAGAGAGGGTATTCTATTGCTTTGTATCAATCATTTGAATAAATCTTATGAATCTCATCACCAGCTCATCATGACAGACAAACACTGCCCGCGTGTGCTATTAACCAGAATGTATTCTTTTGCTTGGTATCAATCGGCTGAATGAATCTAATGAATCTTATTACCAGCCTACAATGAGAGGCAAACATCCCCTCTTGCTTAATCTTTCATGTAATTTTCTTTTGCGGCTTGCCATTCCGGCCAGTAAGTAAAACGCGCATAGATCATGATGGGAATGGCTGATAGCAGTCTTTCATTATAATATATAAATAATTTATGACCAATAATAGATTTAATAATTTATGAAGAATAATAGATTAATAATTTATTAAATAAATTTCTATACACTTGATTCAGCAAGTTCATCTTCGGAAGCCAATCTTTTCAGTAACCTTTTTCTTCTTAAAACATCATCAGATATGTTTTGCAAAAGGAATTGCTGATTCCCGGGTGAATTGTTCTTATTACATTGGTTATTGCTGGGTGGTTTTTCCTTTAATTTCTGCCCAGTCTGTTTTCTCAACCCTCTTTCCTTGCTTTCCTAGTAATAAAATGTAATGAATTTATAAATAATATATATGTATTACGATCACCCCCGAAAAGAGGCTTCTGGTGAGGTTCGCCTCACAAGCACTACCAGCAGTACATTATTGAAATAACCTGCAATTTATTGCCAAAACAAGAGATATTATTCCTATTAAGAATATCCCCTAAGAGTTTCGCCAACAAGCATTACCACTACATTGAATAACCAATTTATTAGCATTACATTGCTAAAGGCGATAAAAGAGGTTAATCCTATCATAAATATCCCCTAAGATGGAATTGGCATTGAGGACTTTCTTGAACTTAAATTTGTTTGACTTTTTTGACCACTTGAACTTCACGGGACGTGCCGAGGGGACAATGTATCTTCATGGCTTTTAACGCAATGGTACAGAAGGAGGATCGTGTCGCTGCTATGTGACGATGGGATATATAGATATATCCCTGCTATCTTTGTGACTTTGTTGCAGTTACATCTCCCTGCTAACAATTGACACGTCCCTGATGCATTTTTTTAAAGTAAGTGCATATTGTAATTATGTTGTCGTTACACGACCCCACTGCACGCCGCCCCATCCTTTTTGCTTTGAATGCGGTGCTTTCCGATTCAAAGCTCTTAGGAATAACTAAGAGTACTTGTTTGTTTTCATCAAGTTCTCAGTTGCTATAGATAAATAATAAAATAATACTCAAGGAACGACGCTTGAAATTGGATCCACTCCCACCCATATTAAATAGATCCGTTACCTGGAGTAATGATGAGCGCTCTTGCACGTCATCATCGTTATCATCTCCTTCTTGTAATTGCTCTTGAGGAAAAATGCCTGATGACGTATCACTGAAACACATTAGGTTTTCCGAGTGACCTAAAATCCACATGGAAGAGTCATGTTAAGATGAGAAAATGGCGTTTTCGTTAGTGTACTGATGGAGTCATATTATTGGGGGGGGGGGGGGGGAGGGGGGGGGGGGGGGGGGGGGGCATTAGAGGCAATAGTCTAAAAAAAGAACCATGTTTTGGGGAGTGGGTTCTGGTTAATATAAACTTCTCTCCCTTTTCTAGAGGCCTGTTGAACTGCTGGATATTAGATGTCCGTAGCTGGAACTACACCAATATTGGGGGGGGGGGAAATTATATAACTTAATTTCATGACCTCATCATATTTACAACATAATAATAACAAAGGCCAGCATACTATTAGGAAATTTCACTCGAAAACGGTCATGCAGACTGATGACTTGAAATTGTTTACTTGGAGATAGTTAAGAGGAAATAGTAAACGAGTATCTCGTAAGGAATTTCCTCCACCTCACTCTAAGATAACAATTGATTTTACCATGCTCTTTAGATATATATATATTATTGCTTAGCCCGAGGCCAAAACCACCTCATTACTATCCATTGTTTTTCGTCAAAGAATCAAGTCTTTCTCATCAGGTATGAGTGCTTTTAAAATAGCAAGTCGACAATACCCCTACCTCCCATTTACCTTCTCTTCTCATATTTACCATGGTTACAATTAACTCTTTCTTACCTTGATCGACTGGAGGCAAGATGGTCCCCAGACTTGGATCCACATTAACATATGGATGCTCACTTCTCTGCATATCTCCTAGTATCTCCCGAACCAAAACAAATGACGGTCTATCTTCAATATTACATGCCCAACATGCCTTCATTAGTTCGTATCTTCATAAAAATTGAAAAAATTTTGAAAAATATTAAAATAATATCTAGATCATTTGTTATATCAAAGTGATCATGAAATTCCATCATGTATGAAAACATAGTTTCAACTCTACCGACAGCGACAAGGCCGCCGTACCGGCGAGCAAGAAAGCGTGTCCCCCCCCCCCCCCCCCCCCCCCCCATGTTGAAAGAGAACCACCCGCCCGAAAAAAAGGGGGGGGGGGGGGGGGGGGGGCACACCCGGTTCCGCCGCCCCTGTAACCAAAATGTTATGTTTAGTAAGACAGCTTTGTTGAAGTAGTATACGTATTCTCATACTTATACTAACTAACTACAAAAAGAACATTTATAGTGCGCTCACATTTCTTCAGTGCAGTTGCTGGGCTTTTCCATTCTCTTCCCATCCAGAAGGAGCTTCAACAGATCTCTGTCGTTGAATGTAGGGTAAGGGAATCCTCCTGGAAATTTCAATAAAAATTAATAACGATCAGAACTATTTGAAAACGTATGTCATTAATAATGATGATGGCGGCGAGATGATGATGATGATAGAACACAGAAGTCCATTACCCGGAGCGTACAACTCACGTATCTTCCTTGCAAGATATCGTTTTCCCAGACGATCTTTATTTAGAACGGCTTTCCAATACCTCGAGTTATAGAGAACAAAGCTATAGCCGTTGGTGGAATAAACAAAACAAAAAAAAAACTGATGAGGAATGCTTTGTTATTTGGCACCCATACGAATCTAAGTAGCAAGTCAGAGTAAATGAAGACCCAAGAAAAGGGTACTATTTGTACGCTCTGGATAATGGGCTCCTGGATAGGTTGCGTGTAATGACTCTAGTGACGATAATGATGAAGTTGGTGTTCGTGTCAGTGGTGTTTTTGCTAGCGTTATTGGTGGTGAAGGTAGTGGTGGTGGTGTTGGTCGTGATTTTTACATACCAAGAGTACATATTTCCCAGAGTACAATGCCGAAAGCCCACCTGCAGGGAAAAAAAAGGACACACACATGAAATCCAACGACTTTCCTTACACCCTAATATAGCAATGCTATGAGTCAAGAGAAAATGAACTAAAAGAAGAAATCCCCGCGCCTCATCACACGCGGATACTGTGCGCAATCTACACTGTTTGTGATGCTTTCGTGTATTTTTCAGGCAAACGTGAGCAAACAGCGTTGAGTGCGCTAAGTGTGCGTGGAAAAAGAAAAAAAAATAGAATGACGAATATGATTCTACAACTAGCATCAAAAGGTGCCTATGATGGTTACAAGCATGAGCATGAATACCAGATTCCTTCTTTTACTTTATTTTCTCGTGAATGTGTATATTCATTAAGCTTACTTACACATCACTAGAAGTGGAATAGATCCTGTCTCGCATGGCCTCGATTGACAGCCAGCGCAGAGGGATTTTTCCTGTGCTTCGCTTTACATATATACCTTCCCTTGAAAGTCCAAAGTCTGAGATTTTAAGGACTTTATTTTCGCCTACTAAAATATTTCGGGCAGCTAGATCTCTGTGGATGACTCCTTTTTTAGACAGGTATTCCTGGAATCATAATTAATATAAATGTCAGTCTCAATTTCTTGCAGTTTTTTTAGTGTGTCTCATTAATTTTGCGCATGCGTATATAGTGGATGAAACCATTTTAATCAACTCAAATACAATCTCACACCCAGAGCCTGCATTTCTTTCCCCTGGCCATCGTCGAAGATCGAGGGCTCTGGCATAATCCATTTTAATAAGACCAGGATTTCTTGGACTTCCGGTATAACAGCACTTGCGTTTCAAGCCAAAAATAAGAAAATATGTTTCCGAATTTCAATTTTTAAACAGAACTTTGTTTGAAAGCATGATTTTTGTTGATTATATTTCACTTGCGGAAAGTTGCGCATGAGCCAAAAAATGGATTATGCCAGAGCACTATTTTTCCGTCGCAAACCAGAAGAAACGCAGGCTCTGGATACGAGATTGACTCGATTATTCGCGTTTATATGTATACTAATAATTTTTTTGGTCTCGGAATGACCTACCACCTAAAATATATATCTCCCATCTCCTTTGCCTTCGAAATCCTATTTCTCGAAATCATCGTATAACAATGGTCCGAGGACTCGCTTGCGTGGCTATTAAAGTGATAGCGCTGCAGCAGATCTGGCAACTGAGAGATTAGTGAACTGTAAAGTATGATAAAGCGTTCATACCATTCCACATGCGATCTGATACGCAAATGACTGCAGTTCACTTGAATCCAACGCTCCATCCAAAGGAACCATAGCTGATCCTGAAGACTCGCCAGATTTTCTTCGAAAAGATCCTGATCCACTGAAAGATGCTTATTATGGTATGCATCAAAACAATTACTGTTAGAAATACATAGTCAAGCATATCCTTTATAAAACATTTTGTTCAAAACATTGCTTTCTTTTTTTTATATCCATCTTTCTCACAATGTGCTTTATAGACCCCTTTAACTTGGCTGTAATTTTTTTCAGTTATAGACCACGTGTTATTCCCTTTAGAAGAATAATTTTTGTTTGAGTTGTATYCATATTCATGTGTCTTCTCATGTGCAACCGTCAAAAAATGCATGATACTCTAGGGAATAACACGTGGTCCGAAATGAGAAAGCATGACACCTAAGGTACAGAATCCTATTTATGTTCCATCAAAATTGAAATCGTTTTCATATTGACTGGGTCATTAGCGTCATCATAGTCATGACCTACCTGTTGTAATAATAGTGCTAGCACTACATGCTTCTTGTCCTTCATCGCGACCAACATACAGTAAACCAGAATCCTTGACCGAATCAGACCCAGACCCATTGCGCCCATTGGTAAAATTAGCCTTGCTACCGTCACTTAGACTCATGACTGACAAGTTTCCTCTTTCATTGAACATTATGCCATCTTCATCATTTAGTGAACCACGTCGTTCTCTCTCCTGGAACAGGCAAAATAGTGTAAGTGCTGCGTCAATATATAGAAAAACAAATGTAGATTGTATGGGCTGATATAAGTTCTGTGAAGGCCCTATGTGGTATTTGAAGCGAGAAAGATAGGCAAAAGGTAGGTTTGGAATGATAAAATATTATTTAGGGATCTCGATTCAAGGTTAGGTCCAATAGCTGTTATTACAATTGAGAAATTCATAGTGTTTCAAGAATTATACAAGTGAGGCTATTGGGTCGGTACAATGCTTGTTGTCTCATTTGCATTTCTTTTGCATGCATCTATGATATCTGCTATTTTATCCAATTATTTCAGCCGTCATGAAATTTCATCAAAAAAATGTACCCAAATTGACCTTATGTTCCATTCATTCATTACGAGGATCCCCTTTGACCTTATGTTCCATTCATTCATTACGAGGATCCCCTTTGACCTCATGTTCAATTGCTCAGTATCTGGACCCCTTTGGCCTCATGTTCCATTTGTTCACTTTCTGGTCTCTTTTCGAACTTCCCCGGGGGGTACTCCCTTTGTCCAAATGGTAAGGGTGATTATAATCGTTATTGAACAAACACGAAAAATAGAAAGAAGAGGTTCTCCAGTCATTTATTAAAGGGTATCAGCACAATTACTATTAATCATATTTGGCCGCAAAGTTTAGGGATTGAAGTGAACATGGCTTCAACACCTTTTTTATTTACTAAAAGGGGTCGTTTTCATAACCAGCCCTAGATCACCCCTATCACTTGGACAAAGGGAGTACCCCCTCCCATTCCCGGTCCGATTGCTATAATTATTCAGTATCACTTCCTTCTCCGACTGATCCATCATCGTCCTAAAGATATCCTGAATGATAATAGGGGTTGTCATAAGGAATTATGATAAAGATTTTCTTACCGGATCATCCAAAGGAAGCACAAGTGGTCGATTACTGTATCGACTTTCCTTTGAATCTATTGGAGATTCCAGACTGACGGCGTCATCAAAACACTTACGATGCTCTTGCTCAAACTGGAAAGCAAATTTATCATTACTTGGTGTCAACAAAGGAAACAATATTATTGATAATTGAAGATCGATCATTTCGATTTTTTGGAAATTTTCGGACGAGGGCTAGTTGCACCTGTTGGCCTTTCCCGGATTCACTTGAGTGGCCACAAAACAAATTAAGGTTTTACTGTATAGACTCGACTTGGAGCCATCGTTCCGTGTTCACTCAAGCGAACAAGCATTTCTGGAGAAGGGGGATGAGAAGGTATGTAGAATATTGATTTAATTGAAAAAAACCCAATGACATGAAAGATCCCACTAAGGTTATTACGTCTATCGAGTTTTAGAATGTTTGGGAAAATACTGACTCGTTAACAGGCTTTACTAAACAAATCAAAAAATAGGAAAGAATGTATGGTTCTATGAATGTATGGTTATCAGTAGTAATAGTTGTTTGATCTTTTTTTTTTGATGGGGATCATTTCTTAATTAGATAAATATTTTCACTCGGCTCCAGTCCCTTCCTCATTTTCCCAATTAAGGATAATACGGGAAAGTTCCGCTTTCAGTCCCGCATTCACAATAAATGAGGGCAAGGCTCATAACCCATGCAGGCAAAAGATAATAGAACATCAGAACTGCATCATCAAGCATTGAATATGTCACCCACCTTCTTTCGTAGATCCCTGAGGTAATGCAATAAATCTCCATGCGGTGCATATTCCACTAATAAACACAGGGGATCGTAAAGTGTACAACATCCAAGAATAGTCACTATATTCTCGTGTCTTCCAATCACCTTCATGAAGTTTATTTCTGCTTTAAAATCCTCTTTCTCGTCCTCAGAAGCATTTTCTACAAACAAGAAAGAAAGATGCTCACCAGTGGCAAAGCAACAAATTGCTGGGTTTCACTTGACGTCATTGCCTGTCCCGTTTAGAATGTTCATCAGTTGAATTGCAAGTTTTCAGCAATTTTTTCTGGTTGACAGCACATAAATCGTGGTCAGTATTTGACCACCTTTTGAAGCAGATAATGAGATTCAAAAACTTATAGATTGAAACCCAGCAATATCCTAAACCTCCGATAAAGGTGGAGGTTTAGGGTGGATGGCAGTTCAACATAACATGGGAAAGAGCATATTTTGAGAACCTACCACGTTATAAAAAAACAGCTTTACTAGATTGAAGAATAATGATGCTGCCAATGTACCAGCTCTCACCGCTGCACATGGTTACGGGCTCATACATACGTATATACATACATATACTTTATTACAATCATAAACAAATTGTGATTATATACATTGAGTATTTATAACAAGTTAACATATTTAACATAAGGCTAACTTAGGTAAATAGCTAAATTAATGTTACTTCTAATAGGATATTGGCACACAAAAGGTGATGAATGAGAAAGAAAAGATAATGAAATAAAAATCTCAAWCAATCCATGAACCGTCTTCGTGGGTAGGCCGGCTACTTGTTGGTTGTCATCTCCTGTAATTTGAGGGGTTTTCTACGCGTTCTTCCATCAAAAACATTAAGAATGAACAAGAAAAAGAAAAAGAAAGAAAACTTCGAAATTCCAATTCGTTCAATCATAAAACGTGAGCTAGATACGCTTGTCACCGTGTGAGCCAGAACGAGTATTACCCTCATAAGATATATGTATGTAGTATATTCATTATGCATTTACCTTTTAGTATCTTTACAGCAACCACAGTTTTATCTGGATTCCCATTCATACCATAAGCATCTGCAATAAAAACGTGCCCAAAGGCTCCTTTTCCAAGTTTTCTTCCAATCTCGAGCCTATGGAATCCAAACTCGTATTCATCTGTTTCCCCAGACTTGATTGCCTCGTGGATTCGCTGTTCTACGTACGCAGGATTCAGCTCCAAGCCTCCTTCGGCACACTTCGGCGGTAGGTTTACCATAAGCCTGGAACTAGAAACGTCAAGGAATCTCCATTAACTAAATCGTTATTATTATTGAAGAGGTTTCTGAAATATTAAACCCCCACTCTCACTCCCGTTCCCACTTCCCTAGCCTCATCGAAAACCCACTCCGTAGTCCCAGTGACAAATTATTGATTTAACAAACCTTTCATTCGTCCCAAAAAGAGCGCTGTTCTGATCAAGGTTTCTGTGGTAAATATGTGACTCCAAATTTGGATTATCAATAGCAGTTCTTTGTAAGCCTGTTGGTGTTTGGTTGAACGGTTTGCCGAGACGCTTCTTGTAAACAAAGAGGAGGATAATGAAGATCACTAGCAGAACAAGAATCAATGGTACCACGATGGCAACGGCGATTAGTGCCCCGTTACTTTGCTTCTGAGTTTGCTTCTCGAGTACAGGATCTGCTTAATAACAAGATTGAGACAATGTGTACTATTTAAGGGTGAATTAATCAATATACATATAGGATCATGTTATTTTCCTGCTCAAAAACCTTACACACTAAATTCCAATTCCTTCAAACGTTTTTGAGTAGTGAACTGACTAGCATTTCTACCAAGATCTTAAAAATCATTGTCGAAAGGTAGGAAGGTCGACTATGGTAAATTATTTTATTTGTTATTAATTGTATTTGAGGATCCACGTGTTTGTACCACGCATGAAGTACTGAATTTTTAAGAGTATCGAAAGTAGCCTATTGGTGTGTTTCTCAGTAAGGGGTGGTTACGTACTGGATTGTGTCGTTCTCACTTTTCATGTTGTACTATTGTTTCATCGAATGCCTAATGCCTCGCAATCAGGTCTGAATTTTAAGAATTCGAAAATAGCCTATTGGTGCTATTTTTTACAGTAAAAAAAATACATACTGAATTGTGTCGTCCTCTCTTTTCCTTGTAGTACTACTGTTTCATTGAATGGTGAAGTTGTGGCTGGAGAGATGGTTGTTAATTTTGTTGGAGGGCTGGTAGATAACGTCACTGAAAAATATACCAAGTATTTTTTCAGTATAAAACGGTAACATTTTTTTTTCTTTTATAAATTGACCCGAAGCCCGAATATGGTCTAGCTACAAGACCGGCAGGAAGTGCTATTGACTCGTTGACCATGCGGGCGAGATATGTAATTATGTACTTTCTCCAGTGAACCCTCTTTCTTTCACTTTACTAGTGAAAAAAATTTCACTAGTAACTCTTAACTTCTTAAATTCTTAACTTCTGATCTTCTAATCCTTCTCTGCCAATATCCACCTACTTTATAACTGTGGAATGTTATCTTTGCTATACCAATTACTTACCTATAAACAACAAGTTTTGCTTTCCACGCAGCCGACACGAGTGGTGATCAAAAGCTGATATCTATAAGTAGAAGTTCAAAACTACATTAATTGACGATTTTGTATCCGGTTTTGGTGAGGCATAGAAATGGATTGGAATCTTTCCCGCGCAATTTGATTAGTATGGCAGTAAAGCCGTGTCCACGGCGTGACCTTGTCCGGAGCCGTGTTTATGCCGTGTTCCGGATATTTGACTGGATGGAGAGTAAATTTTCGAGCAATTCGATTAGTCTGACGTATTCTATTTTTTTCAGTAATGCCTCATAAGCCTCTGGCTTGGGCCTCATCAATGATTGTATACGTTATTTTTCTTTATTGCTGAATAAATTGAATATTAGTGGTTTTCAACCATTCCCAAGAGGATCCTCAAAAGACAAAGGCATGGCGGCCATGCTGGTGGACAGGTACAAAAGCATCTAATGAGAAGTCCGATCCTTTGTTAAAGTCCACCAGATGAGGTAGTGTGAAAATGAAGGATATTATGTAAAATATGCCTTGCCGTGTCACGACCGTGTTCGTGGGAGGCTCTACTACCTACATTATAGCACCAAGAGGCGGTACATAGGTCAGTACACACTGGAATAAAATAGAATGGAATGGAAACATTATGACGCTTACCATCAGGATGAAATAGCAATCCATGTACACATTGTTAAACGTTGCAAGGCGTTGTGATGTCTAGATGAAACAAAAGTTAAGAAAAATAAATCCCAACCCCAAAAGCCGGTTGCATTAACCCAGAATACAATCCTTCTTTCAACACCCAGTAAGACCCAGCATCCCCCCCCCATGCAGTTGGGGAAAACGTTAGCTAAAAAAAGATAAAGTTAAGTCGGATTGAGTAGAGTTAGTAGCAAGCTGGGTTGCTAATATGCAGAAGATAATATAGGTAAGTTGTAGTGCTTGGGAACGAGGTTATTCCGGGCGAAAGCCCTTGGAATTAAATTCGGAAAAATTAATTTCCGACCTCGCTGGGATCCCAGCGAGGTCGGAAATTAATTTTTCCGAATTTAATTCCAAGGGCTTTCGCCCGGAATAACCTCGTTCCCAAGCACTACAACTTACCTATATTATCTTCTACTATTTCATTAGTGCCACGCGGTCCACATACTCTCATCTTTGCTAATATGCAGGACATTACTCACCAAAGCAGAAACATTATTAGAGATAACTGCTGTGTTTGGGCTTGGGCATGTTTTGAACATTGATCTGAAGCTCACTCTGAAAGATAATCTGGGGGAAAAAATGGAGGGGGAATCAATACTACTTACGTAATGCTAAAAATAGAATAGTGAGAGCAAGAACGACAAGTTTCGAACAGCAAAAACAAATAACCAATTTCTTTGCATTATATTGTAAGCGATAGTATAAGATATTAACCTTATCAAGAATACCTCGTGTAAGATCAACAACAACGACAACAAAAACAACTTTATTACTTCACCCTGAATTAATTACAAGTATAAATACATTATAAATCATAAATTTACGCATATATATTAATGTGAGCATTTAAACAGATATAAGAAGACCAGCAACAGCAACAGCAATAACGACCAGAAAAAAAATAATGAGAAAGTATATAGAAGACGATTACATTTTAGCTTACATAAAATGTGATATCTTTGCAGTCTTGTCCCAGAAAGACCTGTTAAAAGCTATTGTAGCTGCCGTTGCAATAACAGTAGAGTTGAATATGGATAATTTGACTATCGGTACCATTGGGAAGTTTTCATGTAGAGGGTGAAAGAACCTGATTGCTGTAGAAACATTTAACATCCACATATAAATAGCTTATAAATTATTGGGTGGCATGGGTGGCGTTCGCGGCTAACGCGTCGTATTTCACCGCTGTGAGTCCAACGGGTCGGGTCGCTCAGGTTGGAGCCCTGCGGTCGGGAAGCTTATTGGGAGGAGGAAGGGGTTGATAAAAGAAGAACCATACCTATATTTATTCCTGGACAAGGCTTGGGTTCACTGATGGGCTACCTGTGGCATCTGATTTAGTCACGTGGTTATTTGCTCACCCTCCCCACGTTCTATATTAAGGCTGCACCGCCCCTGGTTTATGACGCTTATTTTATTTCTTCAGATAAAAATTTTTTTTTTTTAATGCAAGAAAGAAAAATATCCGTTTATTTCCCAGTTATAAAGTTCAAATGCTGTAAGGCTTGTCTATTCGGCTATGAAACAAGTGCCATTTCTAGACATTCCAAAATTTCTTAATCCATGCAGTTACAATTTTTCTTATAAGATAGCTTGGGTCGCAGAATATTTTTGGTTCATACTTACCGGTAAGAACAAAAAGTTAAATATAATTTCCTGTAGCTTTTATCTGCTTACCTTGGCACCCACATATTTCTTGGATGCAATCTAATGAGAAAATATAGGTTTTACCTTCAACTATTTCCCTTACATGTTGTGGATGGTTATTCTGTTTTATTAAGTCATGCTAATATTTCGCTTTAGGATTTTTTGTTTTATAATTTTCCAAAAATGTCTGAACTAGGGACAATATATCAGTTTCGCATTTGATGTATACCACTGTTTTTGATTACCACAGACTCTTATTCGCACGGGTTTAATAACCTCGTTTATAAGTCAGCTATTCACTGATAACATTAAAAGCCCGTGAGATTTCAAAACATAGACATAACCGGCTAACGTGTTGTTATAAACGTTTCCACCCAATTCAAACCACATGGGAGTAAGTTTCATTGTTCGTTATATTTTGGTTTCAGAGTTGAATTTGTAGAGACAAACGCTTCTATTCCCAGTAGGTTTGAATTGGGTGGTAACGTACATAGCAACACGCCGATTAGGTGTATAGGCCTTTAGAGAGAATAAGAGAAAAATATAAAATGCCCTTGGCAGGATTTGAACCCACGTCTTCGGTATTCTAGTCCGATGTGTTAACTACTACTCTACAAGGACCAACCACGCTGGTAACGCAGCCAGAATATGAAATGTAGGGTATTCGTGAGGATCCCAGAGCGATATTTTTTCTCTATAGATAAGTTGAACACCGTAAATATGTACGCAAAGAATAGACATAGTATAGTAGTAATAAATTATGCCCAGACGTGGGTTCAAATCCTGCCAAGGGCATTTGATATTTTTCTCGAACGCATAATTTATTACTACTATACTATGTATAGGCCTTTACACCTTCTTTGTTTAATTAAGAACAAAAGAAGGTTTAGACAAAAGAAGGTGAGAAATTCGGGATAAAATCGCATGCGCATTGGAATCGATCCTTAAACTATAAAAAGTCTTATTAGTAATGTTCAAGCTGCATATTTTTTACATTTTACTTTTGCAACTGTGCAGACTCGAGTCTTCAGTCATAAAATACAGCGGTATTTACCGAATGAGAAAAACAATTCGAACTATTGTGTGCAGGAGGGTTTTTAAATTTCACCGAATGTTCATTCATTTGCTCTCAGTGATTTATCAGCTGCAAAGGGCCTATTACTTCAGCCCTAATGATGCTCTAGTAGTGCGAAGACTCGGTTAACAAAATAGAAAGACGTGATAGAAATAAATAATTATATGATATATATAGTAAAAGTAAATCTTTTTGTCAACCTTACCTGGGATTCTAAACACAGCACTGCTTTTAAAGTAACAGACCACTCTATTTACACTTATCTCAGTAACCTGTAGCAGAAACAGTTACAAAGTCTTAGTATTAACATCATGAATGAAGCGCAGTTATGATGACTGGAGCAATATATTTCTTCTTCTTCTTCTTCTTCCAAGCTCAAGATCAAACCGCTTTGTTCTCGTAATTTAGTATGATGTGATAAAATCAAAAACGATGATCGGGCTACCTGTGTCTCACCGGGTTACTTAGAGGAGGCTCCGAGGCTCACGAATTTCGATTTAGGATTGATAAAGATATTATACCATACGTACCGTTAATGTGTATCGACATCCCAAGTATAATGATATCCCTGGACTATTATCACTGTTTCCTACAAAAAACTTTTGCTTCTCTAACACGATGTTATTGGAAGACTGTGTGAAAAGGAATCAAAATGAAAACAAGTTCATTACTAACAAACCTTTAGCGTGGAGTGATCATACATTTGATACCTTCTTAAAATATTAAAGGGACTTCCCCAGGCGAAAGACCCTGTGGTGTCCCTTATCTTACAAAGGTGGATATAAAGCTCGTGACATATTTACTGTACCTTCCCTCCTCAGCTATTGGATCAGACATAGTAATTGCTGACTCACTTGTTAACATGGCAATGTTCATGTTCATGTTCCCCCCTCCCCCTAGGGTGAATATTAGCCATTACCCTGGTGACATGTTTACCAGGCCTCTCCTCACTCACTTGTTGACATGGCGACTCCTCCACCTCCCTCCCTCTGGGGATGAATATCAGTCCTCAATTATGTTCTGTTTAACATGGTGGCGAGTTGATACCTGTTTGCCTTTGCTTTTACTCACCTTATTGGCATGCTCCGCGTAAGAAAACATTCTACCATATTGTCCACATTTAAGTGGGTTGGATTCATGCGGTGCCACTCGAACAAGGAGGGTATCCCAATTCAGTTTCTCGATGTCTAAGTAAAGTAGAAAGCCAAATACTAGTTATACAATGGTTTCGAGTGTCAATTGTTAATTAGATGTAGAGTGGCTTAAATCCACCCAGCCATCCCTCCCTCTAGGATTACGGGTATTACCTTTTGGTGGGTCCTAGTACAGAGCTGCAGTGATATTCTGATGTAACTACGTGTTAATTGGCATTGAAAAGGCTAGAATCACCCCCAGCCACCCCTGCCTCTACTGTTACTGGTATGTATTACCTTTTGGTGGGTCCCAGTACAGAGTTGCTGTGATATTCTGATCTAATTTGTTCCTCGTGAGTTTTGCTGTAACATGAAGTCTTAGGTTCGTCACAGGACAAGGAAACGGAGTGTTGTCACTCTGCAGATGAACTCTGCAAGTCTCTTTGAAGGAAATCGGAATTATCAACTTTAATCTTAATGTGATTATCGCTATTTTATTGAAGTTAAACGTGGTTAAAAATGGATTAGGAACAATCTCAGATGTAGCGATTGGCTCATAGGATGTCATCATGCTGTATAATTAGCAATTTGTCCCCGAGCCTGACTGGGCTATTGACCCACAGGCCATGAGGGCGAGGGGACTAATTGTTTTAGTCAAATCCAACTAGGTCAATTAATATATTGATGCAAAAAAGTCTTAAATTAAAATAAATTTCATATTTTGGCTTTCAAAGCCGGCACTTTTCGCTACTTAAAGGGAACTTATAGCCTAGTAGTAGCTCATCCAATCAGAACGCAGCATTAATGATAGACCACTAGTTGGATTTGACTAATATGGCATACGAATGTAAAGTATTCAAAATAACATGCTACAAGCTCAGGCAAGTTGCTTGCTTACTGTTCGTTTGGTAGGAAGGACTGAATTTTGAAAATCCTTGTGTCCCATACATTGTTATCGCGGCCACCCTTACACTGTAGTTTGTTTTGCCCTGTAACTCTGGACTAGTGAAATTCGTTGAAAACACCTGACAATACGAACATATCAATTATCAAATCATCAGGACTCTATGGATGGTTAGAAAACTCATTAATAATTCATGAAG